ATCACCCGAATCCTATATCATTACTAAAGAATCGAACCAATTCACTTAGATTGGAAACTAAACTATACCATGTATAAAAACGGTAGTTCCGGGCAAAGTTGTTGATTTAGTACCGCATGGATCTAAGGAAAGGAAAAAAAAAAGAAGTGGACGGGCAGCGATTCGAACGCTGGACTTTTCGCATGCAAAGCGAACACTCTACCAACTGAGTTACGCGCCCATTTGATGTAAATCCTGAGGAACTTTGGTTATACATTGCAAAAGCAAATAAGCTAAATTTGGCTTTATGCTGTGAGTCCGAAGTATCTTGACTTGACTGTTCTAGTTCGACGGAGTTTGGGTAGAAAAATTTCTTCTATCTGAGTCGTTATTAAATAATGAGCAGGAATATTCTGCGCGGTAAAGCTGTGGCCTAGTAGAATAGGCAGTGAGAGGGAATCCGACATGATGAAGGTTGTACATCGAAGATATCGAAAGTGATATCATCTATGATTACATCCATGGATGTACTTCGCCCGATTATGTAGACGCCGATAACAAATTAGGATCGGAAGTTCTATACTTAAAATGATAACTTTTTTTTACGAAGACTATCTCCTCTTTCTCCCTTTTCTTTCTATAACTTCTTGGATCTATCTCAACGCTACCCAGATAATGCCGTTCGCTTTGATCCGCCAGCCATTCAAAAAGGGCTTGGTATTTCTAGCCACAAACTGGCGCCTCCACGTTAACGTTTCACTATGACCTATGATTATGATGCACTATTATGATGTGGACGAAGAATAACGCGCTTGGAAAGAAATGCTGTTATGTCCAAGGAAACCAAATAGAAGCCACTTTAGAGAGTTGGCCAGAGGATACTGACGAAAATAGCTGAGGTGGCTTGGATGGGGAATCTGGTGATTTTCTTTACTTTTGGTTTTGTCGAATAACACTAATATATGATAACTTGAAACTTGAATAATTGCATTCCGGCTATTGGGTTCTGATCGAAACTCGGGGGTTGTTGCGCTCTCTCTCGCTTTAAATGAGTAAGAGTAGGACTGATGACTTGAATATCCATGTTTGTTTGCCCAGTTTCTGCTATACTGAACAATGAACAATCTACAATAATCCGTATTATATTATCATCGAGTGCTAATATAGATGGAGCTATCCTCTCCTGTCTATAGCCCCTAATTCAGTGTAAATAGTGAGTTATCGTTATCCTTACTCTTCTGTCAGGCTAAATTCAAGGATTAAGGCCTAGAAAAAGCAGCTGGCCGCTCTGCAAATGGTAAGAAAGCAAACAAGACAAATATAAACATCACGATGATCCATAGACAATTGTGTAGTTCGTATGCTGTATGTCCACGAAATGCTCGACAGGAATAAAGACACTTCACTACAATCTATTTCACTACAATCTACCTTACAGTTTACCGTCTCAGACATAAAATAGAAAGATGCCAGTTCTTATTATAGAACTAATAAAAATGAAAAGATAAAAAACATCACAGAGGGTCGTATCCCATTTCCCATTTCCCGTAAGACTTAAAAATTAGCAAAAACGCAAGAAGGGGCCGAATTGATCTAATCAACCTCCTCCATGGTGCTCTCGCCGGTAGCCTCGGCGGGAGCAGCAACCTCGGCAGCAGGAGCAGCCTCGTCCTCGTCGATGTTCAGACCAAGGGAGACGAGCTTGTGAATGCGCTCGGCGAAGCTGGCGGGCTCCTCGATGGTGAAGCCGGAGACCAGCAGGGAGGTCTCGAAGAGCAGCTGGGTGATGGACTTGACGGTGCGGTCGTTCTCGCCATCGGCGTCAACCTTCTTCTTAAGCTCCTTGATAATGGGAGACTTGGGGGAGATCTCGAAAGTCTTCTTGGAAGACATGTAAGAGGACATGGAGGTGTCGCGAAGGGCCTGGGCCTTCATGATACGCTCCATGTTGGCAGACCAACCGAACTGGCCAGTACGGATGGCGCAAGGGGAGCCAACCAGCTTGGAGGAGACAACAACCTTCTCGACCTTGTCGCCGAGAACGTTCTTGAGGGCCTTGGCAAGACCCTCGAACTCCTTCTCCTCAGCCTCGCGCTCGGTCTTCTCCTCCTCGGTCTCCTCGAGCTCGAAGTCCTTAGTGATGTCGACGAGCTTCTTGCCGTCGTACTCCTTCAGCTGGGTGAAGGCGTACTCATCAATGGGGTCAACCAGGAACAGAACCTCGAAGTTCTTCTGCTTGAGGGTGTCCAAGAAGGGAGAGTTGGCAACGGCCTTGAGGGACTCGCCGGTGATGTAGTACATGTTCTTCTGGTGCTCGGGCATGCGAGTGATGTAGTCCGCGAGGGAGGTCATCTCATCGCCGGACTTGGTGGACTGGTAGCGCAGAAGCTTGGCCAGAATGGGGCGGTTCTGGGCGTCCTCGTGGATACCGAGCTTGATGTTCTTGCTGAAGGCGGCGTAGAACTTGTCGAACATCTCGCGGTCCTCGGAAATCTCGACGAACAGCTCAAGGGTCTTCTTAACGATGTTCTTACGGATGACCTTCATAATCTTGTTCTGCTGGAGAGTCTCACGGGACAGGTTGAGGGGAAGATCCTCGGAGTCAACGACACCCCGGATGAAGCTGAGCCACTCGGGGATAAGGTCTGTGCAATCGTCGGTGATGAAGACACGGCGAACATAGAGTTTGATGTTGTTCTTGGTCTTCTTGGTCTCGAACAGGTCGAAGGGAGCGCGCTTGGGAACGAAGAGAATAGCGCGGAACTCAAGCTGACCCTCAACGGAGAAGTGCTTGACAGCGAGGTGGTCCTCCCAGTCGTTGGAGAGGGACTTGTAGAAGGAGGCGTACTCCTCATTGGTGATATCGGCGGGGTTGCGGGTCCAGATGGGCTTGGTCTTGTTAAGCTCCTCCTCCTCGACCTTGGACTCCTTGATGGTCTTGGTCTTCTTCTTCTCCTTTTTCTCCTCCTCATCATCGACCTCCTCGACCTTGGGCTTCTTCTCCTCATCCTCCTCCTTGGTCTCCTCGGCATCCTCATCGGGGACCTCGGTCTCGGTCTCCTTAAGGACGTGAAGGTAGATGGGGTAGGAGATGAACTCGGAGTGCTTGCGGACAACCTCCTTGATGCGGGCCTCGTTGAGGTAGTCCAACTGCTCATCCTTCAAGTGAAGGATAATCTTGGAACCACGGCCGAGTTGCTCGCCCTCGGTGTCCTCCTTAAGGGTGAAAGTGCCACCGGCGGCGGACTCCCAGATGTACTGCTCGTCATCGTTGTGCTTGGACACAAAGGTGACACGGTCAGCGACCAGGTAGGCAGAGTAGAAACCGACACCGAACTGGCCGATCATGGAGATATCAGCACCGGCGGACAGAGCCTCCATGAACTGCTTGGTGCCGGAGCGGGCAATTGTTCCAAGGTTGTTGATGAGATCCTATGAGAGATGAATATGAGTATTGGTGGTCAGATAGAGATGGGGAAGAGTGTTTTAGGTAACTCCTGAGGACAAACTTACAGCCTTGGTCATACCAATACCGGTATCGCGGATGGTGAGGGTCTTGTTCACCAAGTCGGGGATGATGTCGATGCGCAGATCCTTGTTGGAATCGAGCTTAGAGGGATCGGAGAGAGCCTCGTAGCGGATCTTGTCGAGAGCATCGGAGGCATTGGAGATCAACTCACGAAGGAAAATTTCCTTGTTAGAGTAGACAGTGTTAATGATCAGCGAGAGCAGCTGAGAGATCTCAGCCTGGAACTCGAAGGTCTCAGACATGATGGCGGATTGTGATTCTGAAAGAGAGGTTGAGTTAGAAATGATGAATTGATAGGAATTGAGCAGATGCAGAGTCTGATCGAGCAGTGGGGGTTGGGGGGTGAAGTTGGGTGAAGTTGGGAAGCGGTGACGGTGGGAAGAACAGGAAGGGGATTTATATCTTACAAGAAAGCAAAATAATTAGAAAGAAGCTCTGGGGGGGATAGTAACCAAAGCAAAGGGGAGAGATGAGGAAAAAGAGTAGAAGAGGCGGGCCAGTTCCTTTTGTGTCTCCAAAAAAATCTGGTGGAGAGTTTCTACGGCGATCCAGCAACTTCCATGTCGTTCAGGCAACGCCTGCAGCTTTCTCGATGTCATTCTAGACTCTTCTGCTTTTCACTTTTGTTTCTTTGTTTAGACTAATTACTCTAACTTGCCCGGTTTGGCAGCTCTCACCTTCCTTTTTGTCTATATTTTTAGCTGAGCTGTGAGTGCATCTGAACTCTAGAACCTTCCCCGGATGACTCGTCGACTCATCGACTCATCTCACCATTAGGTAAGCACTGGTTAGAGCGCTGGAGGTCCTCGGAAGTCAACTTTGGCAGTACATTCGATACATTTGATATATAGCAACTTGGAGATTCATTATTCCCTAATCCATATTTAGTAGGCTCATCATTCCATGATACAGTTGTAACCCCCCCCTTAGAATATCCCATTTACACATCACCGGACCCTCATAGCCAAAGAAATCAAAAGAAGCAAAATACAAGAAAGACCGGTATGGCGCACCACCGTAAGACCCTGGAGTTTGCTATGCTAGTTAAAAAAAGATGCGATATAACGTTTTGCAAAAGAAGAGCAAGGAACAGATCATGGCAGAAGACAATGAAAGAAAGGAATATGGTGCAGGAAAAAAAGAGGATCATGAATGTCGAAGACGAGACTCGATCCCAGCAAAAAAAAAATAAAAATAAAAAAAAGGAGGTTAAAACACAAGTGCCCAGAGGGAAGGAAAATAGACGCAACTTTTCCAGCCAGCCCGGACCAACCAACCGCTAATATGCACTGTGACGGGAGAAAAGGGGAGGCAATAGTCACGTAACACATGTCATTAGGAAGAGACGGGGCAAAAGAAAAAAGAGAATCAAAATCGGAGTATACAGATCCCGAGAAGATCATCCGCCGGGAGGATTGCTCACAGGAATGCAAGAGTCGTGACACCGACGGGAAAGAAGAACGTAGAGGATCATCAAAATCACATAAGGTGTTTAAGCAGCTTGGGGCTGGCTAGGGCGACCTTTGGCGGCAACGTTGCCACCACGGCCACGAGGAGTGAAACCGCCGCGGCCTTCACGCTGGAAGCCACCACGGCCCTGGCTGCCGGCGCGGTCACCGCGACCACGACCCGCACCACCACCACGGCCGGCAGGGAAAGCGTTGCTACCGTAAGCGTTACCACGTGGGCGGCGCTCCTCGACGAGGATCTGCTCGCTGCCAATCTGGTGGGGGTTGGCAGCAACGGCAGCGGTATAACCGGCAGGCTCGTTGAATTCAACAAAGGCACAGTTCTTGGGGCGGCTGACATCGAAGTACTTCAGCTTGCCGAAACGGGCCAGGGTCTGCTTAAGCAGGCTGGCATCAACCTTGTCGTTGACGTTCTTGATATAGGCGAGGACGGTCTCCTCAACACGGGGCTGCGACTTCTTGTGGCCATCGCCGGCCGTCTGCCAGCCGGCTTCGGTGGAAGGGGCCTCCGGGGAACGGGCAACCTCCGCAGGGGCGGGGGTGGCAGCAGCGGGCTGAGCGGTAGGGGCAGCGGGAGCAGCGGGAGCAGCAGACTTGGGAGCAGTAGGAACAGCAGGGGTAACCTGAGCAGCAGGAGCAGCCTGGGCAGCCGAAGCCTTGGCGGCAGCAGCGGCCTTAGCTGCGAAAGAGGTAGTCGCAATGCTAGCCCAGGTCTTAGGAGCAGCGGGAGCGGTTGAGGTCTCCTTCTCAGGAACCTCCCCCTTCTCGGCAATAGGAGAGGGCTCAGGGGTGGCGGGCTCCTCGTCGTTCAGGTTTTCAGCCTCGACGGCAAGAACCGCAGCTGGAGCCGCCTCCTCAGCGGGGACACCGTTAGTCTGAGGAGCGGCCTCCTTGGGCTCCTCAACCTGCTCGTTGGCCTCGACCTCCTCAAGCTTCTCATCGACGTCTGAGAGAGTTACTTCATCAATCACCTGGTGCTCCTCAGCGGGAACCTCGGCAACAGCCTCAGGAGCTTCAGCAGTAGGCGCAGCCGGGGTGGGCTGCTCGGGTTCTTCTTCTGGCTCTTCGGCCATGTACCGGAAGATGTCGTTAAGCACATAGTAGCCGTTGGGCTGCTCGGCGAGGACGAAAGTCTGCACGAACTTGCGGGACGGCTCGGAGTTGTTCGAGATCTCACCAATGACTGAGACCAGGATGTTGTCGAAAGACGCCTGAGAATCGACATTCAGGACGCGCACTTTGCACTCCTGGAACTTCAAGGAGCTAAGCTTCTCGTTGATGGCCTATGGGAGTGGGGTGCGTGGTTAGGCGATATTCACATTGAGGAATCGAATCTAACTCACCTTAGTACCAACGGTGACGGGAACCGACTCAGCCTCAGTGCCGAAGACCAACTGAGAGCGGCGAGAGTAGAACAAGTGAAGCTTGTCGGGGTTGCGGCTCATGGTGGTGTAGAACTGCTCGACGAAGTACCAGCCCACCTCATCCTTGGAGATCTCGTTCTTCTGCTGGTCGGTGGGAGTGACGGTAGTCGGGGTGGAGGACTGCGCAGGCTGGAAGCTGGCAGCAGTGTTCATAGTGACAGATGCATGGTTGTAAGATTCAGGGTAACCGTGCTGAGCAGGGTAGTTACCATTGATAGGAACCTGAGTCATATCGGCCATGGCGTTGAATTGAGGGGTTTTATGTTCGGTTTCGGGTGGAAAATAAGATCAAAAGTAACCGAGCGCGGCGAAAATGAAGGTCGAGACTACAACGGCCGAAGTGCTTCTTTTATGAAGAAGAAAGCGATGAACGTTCTAAAAATGGAATTGTCGTGTTTCCCTCGCTTGACTGCATGTTCATTAATTTCAAGGTCTTGACTTGGGCATGGGAGATCGGGACTCACGATGCGAAATAAACGCAGCACCAATGCAAGCAATTGAAGAGGATAGAAGGAAATCACGTAAAGAACCAAAAAAAAGCGAGGCGCTTTGAGATTGCGGAAAAGCGGGAAGTATAGGTGAAGTGAGAAAGAGTTCTCGGTTCTGATGGCGCGGAGAGGGAGATGTGGAGGGTTTGAGAGAAAGATGAGAAAGATCGAGAAAATGTGGGTCTAGGAAGATGAACAGTGAGGCGTGGAGAGTCAGGTAGAAAATGGGGAAACAAAAAACGAGATGGAATGAAGCTGTGGGAATTTGCCTTCGAAGAAAAGAACTTCCTTCACTTCGACTCCGTGCGGGTTTCGCGTGGCCTTGGCGGGTGGCCACCGCCCGGCAGAATTCATAGTACAGCTTTAGTGTACAAAGATATATTATTAGGGATTTCTATCCATATAGATGGGGTCGAGGAAAGTTTTCATGATGACTCAAGATACGTGACAGTCAGACAGGGAAAATAAGAGAAAACAAAATGCCAGATCCGAGAGTTGATACTCAAATCATGCGCATCTCATCAAGTCAAAACGCCACAAACTGATCCGAAAAAAAAGAAAGAGGGGTATGATAGGACATGAAAGGGTGACTGTAAAAAAGAAACAGCAATCATAAGAGCCGCGTCGATAGAGGCTCGGATGTTGGGACGAGGAAAAAAAAAGAAGCAGAGATAAGGAACAAGACACAAGCGAACGATCAGAGATGGCCAACTATGCAGCGTACACAGCATATGGCAAGCCTTATGTCTCCTAATGTACCGTCACCATCAGGGCTAATCAGTTCGCACCTCAGTCTTCTCGGAGAGAGGCTTGCGCATGACAGCGTCTTGGCTAGTCATCCTCCGACCTAGAGCGCGCTCGACCTTAGCCCCGAGAGCGAGTTTGTTCAGGTTGTCCGACTTCTCCTCCGTGGGGACAAATCGCTGCTTATTGAGAGGCTTGCTCTCGAGGCGACCGAAACCGTCATGGAGGTGATAGATGTCAGCGATTCTGGGGTCGCCGTTGAGGGTAGTGCTGTCGGAGGCAGCCAGCGAGGGGCTTCCACTGACAGTGGAGAATCGCTTTGAGTTTCGGTTCTGCAGCAGATTAGACTTGCGGGGTTCTCAATAAATAAAGCAAAGGCCCTACAGCGGACAGAACATGTGGAGGGGAAGAGAAGGGGATTCCTACCGATTGGGCCATGATGGGACGCTCAGAGTCGAGAGAGGGTTGGCGGGCCATTTCTGGGGGGAATGATACGGTTATAAAGAGGAGGATTTGCGCCGAAAGAGGGGCGGGATTTCAAATGGTAGGTATAGGAAGGCCTGAAATGGAATGCAGACTGCAGGATTGGGCTATTAGCGGGTGTATTATTGCCTAGTGGCTGGGCGATCTTGAATTTCCAAGGGATACATACTCAATCCGGGTACTCCGTCAAAGGGGATGTGTTGGAATCAGGTGCAGAAGTACCAATGCAGTGCAAGAGTAGAAATAGAGTCACAGAAAGGAGAAGACGGGGTGGAGTCAAAGTGGTTAAGTGGTGGGGAAAGACAAAATGTGTGGCGGAAAAGGGGAAGGGATTTTATGGAAAGATCGACGTAATCGTAAGATGTGCAGTAAAGAGTCTGCAATGAAACTCCAAGGTGGATATGTGATTATACAAATAAGAAATGACCTCGGGATTCAATCTCCCTTCTCTGATGTCAATTAAAAGCTTTACCGGGAATATTTTGCCACGTGCTGGCCACGCGAGCCGATCATTTCGGCGGGTACGGAGTACTCAGTGATATACACTTTGTTTCTACTCCGTATGAAGATTAGTATTGTATATTGTAATATGAGGGTATCAGGATAAGATGAGAATGAAAGACTTGGATTACTTGCGAGTTTCTATCTCCTATAACATATGTCGTATTGGCAGCAAGAGGCAACATCTTGGTCTCTATCTCTGTATATAGTATGTACCATTTTACAAAGACAAAGAGCTGGCAACACAGAGCCCCAACAGAGCCCCTTTTACAACAGGTAACCATAATACCACATGCAAAACCCAAAAAAATGATGAAACAAGCCCGTTTACCCTAACAGTCCAACTATCTAGTCTTGGCAAACTATGCAGATCACGAAGCACCAGGATGCTTTGAGAGTCTATAGTTCGAGAAGTCTTGAAAGAAGTCTTGAACTACTACATTAACAAGTAATAAATGTCAAACCTATCAGAATTGTTACATGAAGTTGACGTGAAAGCAACGAACACACTTATACTCCATCACACACCGCACAGATTCTGCCGGATTTACTTCCAATTTCAAGGTGCAAAGCCATCTCTGTCGATCCTCATTCAATTCAATCAACAGCGTCCCGCAGAAATGGCCAAGCCAAAATCCTTTCTCAGGGAGACAAAGTCGAAGAAGAAGTCTGCCTCAAAACAGGTATGCAGTAGCAATATACCCCGCACAGAACAGCTTGGTCATGATCTCATACATTTTGATATAGGTACCTGTGACTGCAGATGATTTTCTTGCAGGTGTGTGTCTGAACCCCAATAAGCCAATAATATCAATGGTCAAAAATTAACTATTCTCCAGCCGGCGTCGAGCTAGAAGAAGCCGGCGAGAAATGGCGGGCCGGAGATGCGGCCAAGTCTATGCGCTTCTTTATGCGGGCCATCACCAACTATGACGAAGGACTACAAAAACATCCCGGCACATTTGATTTAGCTTACAACAAGTATGTAAACAAGCCATTATTTTGAATTTTGCATTTTTCAAATCTCATCCATGATTGAAGAGTATTGGTTTGGGTTTACCTTTACTAACACACGACCTAGAGCACGAGTCCAATATGAAATCACCCAGCACCCCAAATTAGCAGCCCAGTTGCCAGCACCACAGGGGGAGATCTTGCAGATTGCACTGCAGTCACACCGGGATGCGTTGGCCCTGGAGCAGGACAATGCTGACGTGTTGTTCAATTCGGGCCAGGTGCTGACCAGCTTGGCGGAGTTAATATCTAACCTGAAGCATCCCGACGAGGAGCAGCAGATGCAGGCAGGCACCTATTTGCAAGAGGCAATCGAGCTGTTCCAGCGGTGTCTAATGGTACAGGAGATGAAGTACACGGAAATGCAAGAGGAGATCGAAATGATGGAATCCGGGGATGTGCCACCGGAGCCGGAGGCTGTACCACCGGCCGCGGGACAGTCCAAAGCCGAGTCCGCAGGTGAGGAGCAAGAACAGTGGGCGATGATTGTGGAGCCCGTCACGAAGAATACGCTAGTGGACACTGCGGTGGCGCAGCTGGAGACTTTGACCACTCTGTGCAACTTGTTGACTTCTAACCCCAGTGCGGGCGGTGTTGGTTGGGTGCAAGAGTACTCGTCGGAGCTGGTGCAGTCGCGACTGCCTGCTTATGCCGAAGGTTCGGACAGACAGTACGAGGCGGCCTTGGCGCGGGCCAAGTTCATCTGTGCCTTGAACGATTTGCTCTACCGAGGCGGACACACCGATATCCAAACCTACCAGCAAGAGGTCGGACAGGTCTTTGGTCCAGAGCTGGATGTATCAGCGGACCCTGATGGACTGTGTAGCAAAGCAGATGCGCTCACATCGTTGAACCAGGCACTTTCGGATATCCCCCCACCAGAGGATGACGAGATGTTTGAGAACGCGGTAGCATTGCGTTGGAAGTCGCTTTCAACCGCTTTGGACGCATTAACGGCTGCTACCAAGCTCCCGGATGCCGACAACCTGTCCAAGATTCACCTTGGTCGCGGAGACGTCGAGATGCACAGATGGCGTCTTGGTCGAGCACCCTGGAACCACGCCACGGCGAAGCAGAACGGAGCTATGCTCCTGCGCAACGCCCAGACGTACTACCGCGGAGCAACAGCTCTGGCTCGCCGCGACGGAGCGGCCGAGGAAGAACGCGATGGAACGTGTAAGGAGGCGATTGCTGCGGCGATTGAAGGCCAGAATACGAAACTCGAGCAGCTCAAGTCAACGGACCTCCAACAGGTGATAGTCGTGGCCCAGGATATGGTGGAAGACGGTATGGTCGACGGCAGGGAACTGAGTGCCCTGATTTCATCATGAAGCGGACAGAGAAACAATTTCCGCAATATGCTCACAGACCCGGGTGGGCTTTTGCCTCCTCGTCCATCTGGATCGCATCCTGGCGAATGTGATGTTGTCTGCTAAATTGCGTGGCCGCTGTAGCAGCACCCTCAATATCCGAAACAACCAATCCAAGATGCGACAATAGCCGCTCAATTTCCAGCCTCTGCGCCTGCACAGTCTGCGCAAGCTCCGCGTTTTCCGCATGAGTAGCCTCGAGTCTGGCGTTGAGGGTCGACTGCGCTTCTTGCAAATAAGGCGTAAGGTGCGCCCTGTACAGATCTTCAGCGCCGAGTGTATGCGCGCTGTGTAGTAAATAAAATTAGAAGCCAGAACAAAAAAACAAAACAAACATAGTCCGAATAAACGGCAAAACGCCCCAATGCATTCAACATACACTGTTCTCTCTTGACCCTCAGCAATTCCCCCCTCCTGCTCCCTCCTAGCTCTCGCATCCCCAACAAGCCGATCAAGCTCATTTAAATGCGACACCGCGTCCCTTTCCGCGACAATATCATCAAACTCAGCCTTCGCATTCGCTTCCAGCTTCGCGTTCAGTTGCCGCCAGACACCCTCCAAGCTAGCAGGAACATGGCGCGCAGGTGTCGGAAAACAGCCTGCAAAGTTCGCATATGAATTGGCACGGAGTGTACGCGCTAGAGCCTGCTCGAAGACTTGGTTTAGACGTGAGGCGCGCGGGCCTGGGGATTGGGGGATTGGAGCTGGCGGGGGAGGGGATGGCGACGCCGCGGGCGGTTGGTGGGAATTTGATTCGACCATGGTGGGTATCTCTGCTTTCGGGGTAGAGTCGAAGAGTGAGAAGTAATGGAGAGCATGCGGGTATGGCGAGGGTTGGCGTGCAGAAGGCCGTTTCTCCAGGAATTTGGATCTGGGGTGTTGGACTCTGTTCAACGCGACACGCCGGTCACGTGTTTCTATAGATTGAATTGGTGGCTTCGTACGTTACAGCGATAGTATTTGGAAAACTTTAATTTTCATACTCTGTGAAATGCTACATAGTATGCGATTATATCAATTCTATAAAGTAGTGCAGCAGATGGTATACTTGGAAGAAAATTCAGCTACCGACCAACTCCTAGCCCTAACTTAATGGATCTAGGCCCAACCAACTCCGGCGTCTGTTCTCCTCATTCTCGGCTTTCACCAAAAGAGCAGGACTCGGGCTTTGAGAGTCTTTCCGTAGATTGAAAGATTGTATATTCGTCGCCGAACGGGATATGCGCCACGAGCATACGCGTCTATAGAGGTCAGACCAAAGTAATTTGAATGCGGGCCATGAGATAGAGACGTATATAAGGCTGTTCCAAAATCCCTGGAGGGGAAGGACAAAGCTAGATGCATAGTTCAGACTAAAATTAAAGTTGTTAGGACGAGCCAGGGAATAGACTCTGTTTATCGTTGAGGGGACCTGCAGTGTCGAACAATCAACACAAAGAACCGACAGCAGTTTTTAGATTATAATGGGCTTCAATTAGACCTACCCATGTAACAAGCAATGCAATGAAGAACAGCATAGCGTATTTTGTATATGCCCACGTTGCTGAACTAGCTTCTGTGGACGTCGACCTCCGCTGTGAGTCTGCCCCATCCGGCCGCCCAGTCTTGCCAAAATTCTCCTGCTGAAGAGGGCTGGAATCGGTTTTTGAGCTGGACTTTTGAAGCGTGTTGGCTGTACTACCGCCCTCGATCGTGACCGAGTATGCTCTGAACGCATTAGACGGCAACCCGCTCGCGTCGCCCTCCGACAAGGACCGGCGCTCTGGAGTGAAACAGGCAATCTCCCTGGTAACTTGAATGCCAGTCAACATAGCAAAGGGAGATTCTGGGACAAGATCTGAGTCAATGCCGCCGAGGTTCCGAAGCTGGCGCCGTTTCTGGTAAATCACCGTCCCTGCTCGTAAATAGATGGCGAAGGTCAATGAGATAATGAGCCAGACTGGTCCGTAGAAGATAGCGATGCGGAGGAAGGACCACTGTACAGAGATCCAGCACCAGAGCTGTCGGTGGATGATTGGATTAGCATAGGGTGATAGAAGGGAGGACTTTGGGGTTCTGCTCACGAGGGCGGAGCCATATATTCGGCCCCGAGCTTGGGTCTGGATGAAGAAGTATGCGAAAGCTGGGACGAATGGAACACCGTAACAGCAGAGCACATATTTCCATTCGAGCCGACGTAGTTGCTCCGAGTCGTATTTGTGGAAGAATGTTAGGTAAACATTGCATGCCATTGCAAAAGTCCATAGTGCATCGGCGGGCATGAACCTATGCATCCTTGCTTATTAGTGGCCATCTGCTAATGGTGTTAGTTCCGATTTGATACGAACCATTGAATCAAAAACCCTTGAAACTGGCACAGGGAACTATCAACCCCAGAATGAATCCCGTCTGCCGATATGATGGTGGCTATATTAGCCATCATGTTACCCCATGATGCATAGAACACCAAGCGGTTGATGGGTTTACGGAATGTGGGGGACCAAATAAAAGTAGCGACTATAACGAAAGTGCCAACAAGGGAGACAGTCGAGCAAACACGCTCTGTAGCCGAGATGGCTAATATTTGTTGTTCTGACAGCGTCATGGTACATGGTCTATGACCTAGTCGTCGCGAAAAGGGGAGGGCGTCCAGCTCCTGAAGGTTATAGATTATATCCACTGCAGATATGAACCGAGAAGATCCCCGTGGTTCAACAAAGCCAAGTTAGCTTGTGACAAATCGAGGATGCAGATGACCGTAGACTTACCAGCGGGGGACTTATTTTCGGGTTGGGGTTAACCCTTGAAATAGAAGGCAAACGGTTCGAGTAAATATGCCCAGAGCACAATACCACCTGCTTATTATCCGCAACGGGCAACAAAGGAAAAAGGCAAATGACAAATGAGGCAAGACCAGGCCAATCAGGATATTTCTGGTTATTTCTTTCGGCTTATAGCTAGGAAGATGACCTTGTGCCGAGTCATGCAACAAAGGACGCAGTCCCAACAGTATTAGGTTCGAACAACTGCCAAGAAACGGAGTAAGAACCAAGCAGGACATCTTTTAAATGTTTTCCTCATTTCAAATACCGCATGGGCCAGGGCTCAAGCCGGTACTCCTAGGGAAGGACATGCGAACGATTCCAGTGTGATGGTACCACAACGTGCAATCTCCCAGAATTCACGGAATAGATAGGAGATTGGACAAGGGATGAGTGCTGGTCTGCATAGAAAAGCCTCGGAGGCATAGCCCTTGGGGTTGCACCAATGATTAGAGTCATTGTTTAGGCGTGCAGCCTTTGTCCCCGCCGCTATTGGGGTTCGACAGTGCTTGAAGGGGTGAAGTTACCTGAATATGTCAAGGGTTACAGCGGGGACGATATTTGAGGGGCCTTGTGAGATCCTAGAGTCAGTTCGCCCATGTGTGACACTAGCACAACTGTTTCCCCCCGACGTTCTCACAGCTCATTAGTCGTTGTAGAAGACCAGATTGAAAGACGGGTGACTGCATGTTTGAAAGATTTTTGCGAACAAGCAAGCATAAAGGAATTCAAACGCCAACGGAATGCCTGAAAGGGTTGCTCTTAAGTACTTATGGTTGGGTACTTGGAATAAGGCGCAGTACAGCAGCTATGAGCTCGCTCGTCCCGAAAATCCTTGGCCGGTGGACAAAGAACCAGTTGCAGCAACATGACAAGATATTCCCGAGGATTGCAGTTCCAGCGGGGAAATTTGAACTAGGCCCAAGTGCTTGTTGCACACATCTCGCTGTGTGTGTTAATAAATACAGATTGGGGTGGATGACAGAATGCATTTCTCGAGGAATAGCTATTGCTATTTAGAAGACGACAGGCAGAAGGCTGACAAAATCTGGAGCGCTGCTCCAGAACATTATCAAGACAACAGACAGTGCCCCGAAGTCAATTCATCTCCAATTAGGCCATATACTCCTCATCTTTGACAAAACTGGCCCAAAATCCGCAATATCAAGTTGTTTTTTTTTAAAAAAAAAAGAAAAAAAGAGACGCAAAAATATCCATCATCGGGTATAACGCCGAATTCTCCCATGTCCAATTGTCCAATCGAGCTCGTCATCTCGTCATGCGCAGGCTAGACCGCTGATAAGCGGGCTGCGGGGGGATCATGCCTCCATATCCAGCCATCTGCTGTTGCTGGTGTTGCTGCTGCAATTTAGCCTGGATCTGAGGCAAATCATGGAACCACGGGTGCTGCAGAGCCTCGTTGGCGCTGATGCGCATCTCCGGACGGAGTTGGAGCATACGGTTTAACAGATCCATCCCGATAGCATCCATTTGAGGGATGATCAGCGAAAGATCCTGCGTGGCGTAGATTTGGAAATCGGACTTGTATTCTGGCAACTGCGAGATGCCGGGCCATGTCCGCTCGGATGGTGTACCCATCAGACGGAAGATCTTGACCAATTGATCCTCGTTAGTTGTGCCGGGGAAAAGCGGACGGCCCGTGTACATCTCTGCCATGATGCAGCCAGCGGACCAGATGTCAATGCTGGTGTTGTAGGTGCGACTTCCGAGGAGGACGTCCGGTGCGCGGTACCACAGAGTGACTACTTCGTTGGAGAAGGTATTGACCGGGATGCCGAATGCGCGGGCAAGTCCAAAGTCACCCAGCTTGAGCTGACCCTTCTTGTTGATTAGGAGGTTCTGTGGCTTCAGATCGCGGTGGAGGACTCGGTTGTCATGACAGAAAGCGATGCCCTTGAGTAGTTGGTGCATGAAAGATTTGACTGTGGCAGGATCCAGCTGTCCACGATCACCGCGAGTGTCCATATATCTCTTCAAATCTCTGTCCATAAACTCAAAAACAAGCATAAGTTTGTTTTCCGTGTGGATGACATCGTATAGCGAGACAATACTCTCATGCTTCAGCTCCTTCATGAGTGAGATCTCACGGATTGCAGTCGACGGTGTTCCCTCCTCCGAATCCAAGTGGATTTCCTTCAGCGCTACCATTTCACCGGTTTGGCGATTGCGCCCTTTAAAGACCTGTAGTATTCTGCATCAGCGGTGAGCGGGGGAGAGGCGATCATGCTAGGAGCCGGGGGAGATGAGGGGAGAGAGATCGAGAGAGATTGAGACGTACGGTAGCATATGTGCCTTCACCGAGCTAAAGATAAGACGAATACTCGTTAGTGAAGATTCCAGACCCGATAATGAGGGGAAAGGCATACCTTTTCCAGCTGCTGGAAGGAGCTGGGCTGCTGAGTCTTGTCCATTTTTTGTGGAACTTTGGAAGCCGGTGGCCCCGATGGTTTGGGTTTAGAATGAAAGAGAAAGTGACCAGGGGATACCAGATTTGAGGCGATCTTTAAAGGGTGGGCAGGATCCCTGAAGTGCTCCATGCTGAGACGTGAGGGAGGAGCCCCGCGCTGAGTGGCCCGGGACTTGTCATAGTTGGCCCTTTTCTTTTGGCCTGAGTTGGCAGGCGCTTATTATTTCTACACTGATTTTGGTTTCTATTGTTGCTATAACTGGTACATTGTTTATAATTTGTTTTTAGAATGTCCTCTTGTTATTTTCTAAATCTATAAATTGGCTGGAAGTTGGGATACAACGGTCGGAAGGACTGACTGGCATGGATGGCTACACCGGACATGAGGAGTAGGTTCATGCCCAAGATTTCCAAAAAGCAGGGCTTCGTTCCTCACGCCACCAACATTGACAATACCAATCGGCATGCCTCGTTTGTGTGCTCGTTCCACTAGGCGCCACGCCGAGAAAGTCGCCAGGCTGCTACCTAGGATGAGTAGCCGCCCAGCATCGTCGATCGCTTCTTCAGCCGCTGTCTTCACCAGTGGATCGATATTTTCACCAAACATGATCACTGCCGGTTTCAAAATGCCGGCGTTTGAAGTCGCCGATAATGCCCCGTCACTCTCTACCTCTACAATCGCCTTTGTGCCATCGCGCAGCGTGGGAGGATTCTCCAAGCATGTCGGACATGGAGGATAACGGAAGGTAGAATATGGCGCTTCAGCGAGGTCAACGTCGCCATCCGGGTTGAGCTTCAAGCCTTTCCGCCGTTGCTCTTCCGGATTATCGGTATCGAGCGCACCCTCTGCAACCATACGAGCCAAAAACTCCGCCCAAGCTGGATTAAGTTTCTCCAGCGACGCTTGAAAGTCGGCGCGGGGAAGTTGGTTTTGACAGCTTACGCAGACGACCGATCGCAAGTATCCGTGTAGTTCGAGGGTAGACAGTTCGGGATGCGCGAGGGAATGAAACGAGTCGACATTCTGCGTTACAACGGAACTGATGTACCCTTTTTCACCGAGACCTTTAATTGCCCAATGAGTCGAATTCGGCTTTGCTTTCAGAAGCCCGGGCCAGCCAACGAAGCTGCGCGCCCAATACCGCTTGCGTGACTCATGGTGGGAGATGAACTCGTGGTAGTAAATCGGACGGTAAGATTTGTTTCGCCGGTAGGTACCTTGGTCGCCTCGATAATCTGACAGACCAGACGCGACGGAGATACCTGCACCAGTCAGCAGTACTGTCTGGGAATGTCTCCCCACATCGACGCCGCGGAGATTTAAGGACGGTGGCGCAGTGAAGAAAGTGTTGATAGCATCAATTGCCCCTGCAAGTGTCGTTGCAGCCCGAGGTGTTATAATAGCAGGCGGCAATGGTCCCGTGAAAGGGATCCGAATAGCAGGCGTCGTCATTGAAGACCATCATATGTTCACCGATGTCTTGGCGGAACGGGGAGTGGAGGTTCTCCAACAATGGCGTAGTTGCTTGGCGGACACGAAGGTATTGTCAAAGATTAAATTAAAGTAATCTGAAGGATAAATAAGGAATCTGATAGGCTCCGGGTTGGTAGTCCGGTTTGAGGGGATCAATAGGAGTCATGGAGATGGTCATGGGGAGAAATGCAAACGTGCAGATTGGATTGGAAACGGAAAATTCCAGGGAATAGCCGGATGACATGAACATCCCACTTACACCTGGGCAAACTCATCTTTCAGGCGGATTAGATGTAACTTGTACGGAAATCCCTGTCTTTACTACATAAAGACCCCTGAAAAGAACACTCTGTCCAATCCTTTGTGCTCGCGTGCCTTCGACGCGATGCCACTGACGCAGCCCCTATGCAGGCTCAGGCTTCGCCCTCTCCACTTAAGGATCTCCAGTCTCACATCACTTACTGCCCAGCGGCGTATACTTACATCCACTCCTTTTTTAAAAGACGCTTCTTCCTTTATTTTTCACTCCAGACCTCGTTCCATCCCACGAGCGGCAACACCTCTCGCTATGACACAAACTAGGGATCATGGCCATAGCCACGGCCCCGGTCACCACCACGACAATACCTACCTCACTTCCACAAACAAACGCGACGCTGGTGTTCGCATCACACGGATTGGTCTCGTTGCTAATCTGTGCATGGCCATTGGAAAATTCGTTGGTGGCTATGTCTTTCACTCTCAATCCCTCATCGCCGACGCATACCACGCGCTCACCGATCTTGTCTCCGACTTTTTGACGCTGGGAACTGTCGCCTGGTCTCTGAAGCCCCCGAGCGAACGATTCCCCAATGGATATGGAAAAATCGAGAGCATCGGTGCGCTAGGAGTTAGTGGGCTCCTGCTCTGTGGAGGAGTGTTCATGGGTCTCAACGCGGGACAGGTCCTACTAGCTCATTTCTACCCCGAGGTGGCTGAAACAGTAGCTCACTCCGGGATTTTGGGACATGGTCATTCGCACAGTCATGGGCCAATCGGTCCTAGCATCCACGCAGCGTGGATCGCAGGAGGTTCGATTGTGGTCAAGGAGTGGCTTTACCGTGCTAGTAAGTAAAGCGATATAGGGTGTATGAGTGTTTGTTATCCATCAGGTGACTAACTTTATTCCAGCCATGAAGGTTGCCAAAGAGCGCAAGTCCTCCGTGCTTGCATCTAACGCCGTTCACCACCGCGTCGACTCCCTAACGAGTATCGTCGCCCTTGTCACAATCGGAGGAAGCTATGTCTTCCAAGACGCCACCTGGCTGGATCCAGTTGGCGGGGTCCTGATCTCCTTGATGGTCATCAAAGCCGGTTGGGGCAACACATGTACCTCCCTTTTAGAGTTGGCGGATACTACGGTTGATGAGGAAGTCCGACACTCCGTGGAGGATGCTGCCTCCTTGGCATTGAAGGATATCCAGGATGGACACGAGGTGATCGTTCGGGATGTGCAGGGCCTGAAATCCGGCCAAAACTACCTAATGGACATTGAGTTGGCTGTGCCGGGGGCCTGGCCTATTAGTCGGTCACAACACATTGAAGAGGTCGTTCGCCACGCCGTTGGATCTGGAGTTCGTGGCGTGAAGCGCATCAAGGTCCGCTTTATTCCTGCGGAACATCAGGACCTCACGTTCTCGGATGAGTTTGTTGCACAAGATGTTAGTGGTGATCCAGAGACACTCCAAGATACCCGGAAGCGGCAATAGGGATGTAATTCTGCAATGATACCCTTGGATGCGGGATCTATGTCTATAAATCGAATATAGAACAAGTTCATAATACTAAACAGAGTACGGAGTACAAAGTAAGTATATTGTACTACAGAGTATAAAGTGTATAGTATAGTGGGGTAATTCTATTCTACCGAGAATTTAGCAGAGCAACAGCTCAAAAGAGCTATTTACCCGGCAAAACCTGCTCGGGCTGGACTTGACATTCCTGGAGAATCCATCAATCTGACCTAATTGGCCCTCGGTGCTCACTTGCCACTTTCCAATTGTCCGCTGTACCCTGTGGTTATCGAAGACATAAGAGGATGCATAAAGTCCACCGGGACCGGTTATAGTCCTTTTACATCATCGGTCCATCCCACCTACACTTCTTTTCCCGGACTCACCCCTTGATCATTGAATTACATTACATATCTTCGCCTAAATCTGGAAGAATCTCACTTTATCTTTCCTGTCACTCTATCGCCTGGTATTGTATCTCTTCGGTCATGGCGTCCGATGGCCCCCTCTACATTGGATTCGATCTCTCAACGCAGCAATTGAAAGGATTAGTTGTCAACTCCGATCTTAAAGTGGTCTGCATTGCCAAATTCGACTTCGATGCCGACTCGCATGGGTTCCCGATCAAAAAAGGCGTTCTGACCAATGAAGCCGAACATGAGGTGTTTGCCCCGGTCGCTTTGTGGCTGCAGGCGTTGGACGGTGTACTAGAAAGTCTGCGCAAGCAGGGGCTCGATTTCCGCCGTGTGCAAGGAATTAGTGGTGCAGGACAGCAGCACGGAAGTGTATACTGGGGTCATAATGCGGAGTCGCTTCTCCGCAATCTAGATTCTAGCAAGTCCCTGGAGACACAGCTGGAAGGCGCTTTCTCCCACCCATACAGTCCCAATTGGCAAGACTCGAGCACCCAGAAAGAATGTGATGAGTTTGATGCAGCTCTCGGCAAGCCCGAAGATTTGGCGCAAGCCACCGGAAGCAAAGCGCACCATGTAAGAGAAGCATCACAGTCTTAAGTATAGGCGGGGCAAGCGTGCTGACACTGTCGTCAGAGATTCACAGGTCCTCAAATCCTCCGGTTCACACGGAAATACCCCGAGATTTATGAGAAGACCTCGAGAATCTCATTGGTGTCATCTTTCTTGGCATCCCTTTTCCTCGGCCATGTCGCCCCATTCGATATCTCCGACGTGTGCGGGATGAACTTGTGGAACATTCAGAAAGGGGAGTACGACGAGCGCCTGATTCAGCTGTGCTCTGGTGTTTTTGGAGGCGAGGATCTCAAGAAGAAGCTCGGCGAGGTACCGGAAGATGGAGGCCTGCACCTGGGCCCGGTCCATCCATATTTCGTGGAGCGTTTCGGCTTTAGTCCCGATTGTACGGTTATTCCAGCAACTGGTGATAACCCGGCGACCATCCTTGCGCTGCCACTACTGCCATCAGATGCAATGGTTTCGCTCGGCACGTCTACTACCTTCCTCATGTCCACCCCCAGCTACAAACCGGATCCGGCCACCCACTTCTTCAACCACCCTACTACACCTGGCTTGTACATGTTCATGCTGTGCTATAAGAACGGTGGCCTGGCCCGTGAGCACGTCCGGGACGCAATCAATGAAAGCCTGAAGGATACCCCTGCCCAACCCTGGGCCAACTTTGACAAGGTTGCGCTGCAGACTCCCCCATTGGGCCAACGGAGCCCATCGGGCCTGATGAAGATGGGCCTGTTCTTCCCGCGACACGAGATTGTCCCGAACATCCGTAAGGGCCAATGGCGTTTTACATACGATGCCAACACCGGAATTCTACAAGAGACGACCGATGGATGGAACTCACCGCAGGACGAAGCCCGCGCCATCGTCGAGAGCCAGTTTCTTTCACTGCGCTTGCGGTCTCGAGACCTTACCCAGAGCCCAGGAGGTGGAATTCCCTCACAGCCACGCCGAGTTTATCTCGTTGGTGGAGGATCTAAGAATAAGGCAATTGCCAAAATTGCTGGCGAGATTCTCGGCGGTGTTGAGGGTGTATACTCGCTTGATGTCAGCGACAATGCCTGCGCCCTGGGTGCCGCATACAAGGCTGTTTGGGGTATCGAGCGAGAGCCCGGCCAAACATTTGAGAGCCTGATCGGGCAGCGATGGAACGAGGATGATTTCATTGAGAAAATTGCGGATGGGTATCAAAAGGGGTTGTTTGAACAGTACGGCCTGGCCGTCGAGGGCTTTGCGCAGATGGAAAAGCAGGTTTTGCAGCAAGAGGCTGACAAGGCCAATGCAGCTGCAAATTGAAACTACTATAGACATAAAAAAATGGGAGTATAATTTATTTAGCATCAGTTTAGCTATTTTCAAGCCTCATATAGCAAGGGAAATAGTACATATAGTACGATGTTTTAACAACAAAGCTCCCGCCCAAAAACAACTTCGTGCAAGCCCCTTGCCCTATTTAGAAAAACGCCAAGAACATCACATTTGAATCAAAATCTCCATATCTCTACTCGAAATACGTTGGACATTGGATTTGAAGACCTGCCACTCTCTTGGCAAGCGAAGGCGGAACTTGGTGCACGGGACCGATTACGATATCCAGTTTGAATGTCTGCAGGTGATATCTCCTCCACCGAAAACAATTTTAAAACAACACACACCTCCCCTACGTTTTGATTTCCCTCTCTCCTTCCCACACCTTGAAGGGAGACTGGAAGATGGAAGAACAGGTGAGTCTCCCAATTTTGTTGAGCACCCTCAAAAACCAAAAAAAATTCCAATACCCCAACACCGCCCCTCCCCCGCCGTTTCAAACAACCTCTCCGATACCTTTCCCTCAACTCAAGACACAAGATCATTGACACATCCTAGGTAGCAAATGCAATTGAGATCGCCTGGAATCCATCCTCCGACCCAGCCCTAAAGTCGCAAGCTTACGAATACCTTAACCAACTCCGCTCTGACCCCTCCGGATGGCAGGTTTGCCTCTCCCTCTTCACCAAAACCCCACAACAGCCCGAAGTCGTACGGCATGTCAGTCTGGAGATTGTCAATAGTGCTGCCCAGGTCGGTTTGATCGATCCGGCCTCGCTCGGTGTCGTTCGAGATAGTGTGCTAGCCTACATTCGCCAGGTCTACGGCCCGGAGGCCACTGCCACCCCCGATCCTCCTTACATCCAGAATAAAATTGCACAGACCGTTACTTTCCTCTTCTCCTCCCTCTATGCGAACGGCTGGGAGACTTGTATTGACGATCTACTGAGCCTGACCAACAAATCCGCGGGCCGGGATAACCAAATCGGCGTTGTTTTTTACCTGCGTGTGCTGAGTTCAATTCACGAGGAGATTGGCGATGTGCTGGTTTCTAGATCCCGCGGGGAACAGGATAAGGCGAATGCGCTGAAGGACCTGATCCGTGAGCGGGACATGCAGAAAATTGCCAACTCCTGGCAGGAGATTTTGGCGGTCTGGCGGGAAGGTGATGATGTGATTGTCGAGATGTGCTTGAAGGCGGTTGGTAGTTGGGTTAGCTGGATCGATATTGGTCTTGTCGTGAACCAGACCATGTTAGACCTGCTGTTCCAGCAGCTTGGACGGGCCGAGAAACAGGAGCTTCGGGAGGGAGAACAGCGGGTGCGTGATGCGGCCGTGGATGTCTTCACCGAAATCATTGGCAAGAAGATGAAACCTTCAGACAAAATTGAGATGATCGCTTTCTTGAACCTCGACTCCATCATCACGCAGCTGTCTAACAGCTCTCCACTACGGGAGAGCCGATTCACATCCAAGTACGATACTGATTTGGCGGAGACGGTTGCCAAGCTTGTCAACAACACAGTCGTGGATATTGTGCGGGTATTGGATAATGATGCTGGTCCCGTCAAGGAGCAGGCAGAAAACCTTCTGCAGGTCTTCCTGCCTCACATTCTGCGATTCTTCTCAGACGAGTACGACGAAGTCTGTTCGACTGTTATTCCTTGCGTCAACGATATGCTCACCTACGTCCGGAAACTCGCAAAGGCGAACCCATCCTTCGAACAGCGAAACAAGTCCATCCTGCTTCCGATTTTGAAGGCAATCATTGCAAAAATGCGGTACGACGAGACCTCAAACTGGGGCGAGGAGGACGAGCAGACAGATGAGGCAGAGTTCCAAGACCTGCGCAAAAGACTAGGTGTCTTGCAGCAAATCATCGCATCGGCTGATGAGCAGCTTTTCATCGATGCGATCTCAGAGGTGGTAGGAACAACTTTCCAAAAACTGCGGGCATCCGGTGGGCAGCTCGATTGGCGTGACCTAGATCTCGCTTTGCACGAGATGTTCCTGTTTGGCGATCTGGCCGTCAGAGGTGGCAGTCTCTACCTGAAGGGCGCGCCTACTAACATGGCTGCGAACCGTCTCATCGAGATGATGCTTGCGATGGTAGAGTCCGATATCCGATCATTCACCCACCCGGCGACCCAACTTCAATACATGGAGATATGTGTTCGTTATAGCTCGTTCTTCACTCACCATACTCATCTCATCCCCGGAGTTCTGGAGAGCTTCCTCCAGCTTGTGCACCACCCTGTTCGAAAAGTCAAGACTCGTTCATGGTATCTCTTCCAGCGGTTAGCTAGACAGCTGCGCAGCCAAATTGGCAACGTAGCACAAACTGTTGTGGAGGCATTGAGTGACTTGTTGGTTATCCAGGCCGAGGTGCCTTCAGAGGGCGATGACGCTGATGAGATGTCTTCCGAGGACCACGAGGGCTCCGCGGACGCCGTGTTCAACAGTCAGCTGTACCTTTTCGAGTCAGTTGGAATAATTTCCTCGACCCCAAGTGTTAGCGCAGATAAGCAGGTTCTCTACGCCCAGTCGGTAATGAACCCTGTCTTTAACGATATGGAACGTAACCTCGAAGCGGCCAAGGCCAATGACGAACGTGCATTGCTGCAGATTCACCACGATATCATGGCCCTAGGAACCCTCGCCCGTGGTTACTCGGATTGGCAGCCGGGCACCAGCTCACCCGCAGCTCTGCCCGTGCCTGAGGTCTCGGCGGCTTTCGCCCAGGTTGCTGAAGCGACCTTGGTTGCACTTGAGTCTCTCAGTTCTTCATTCAATATCCGAACTGCTGCTCGCTTTGCGTTCTCGCGGCTCATTGGTGTTCTGGGCGCGCAGATTCTCCCTCAACTGCCCCGATGGATCGATGGACTCTTGACTCAGACTTCGTCACGAGACGAGATGGCCCTGTTCCTCCGCCTTTTAGATCAGGTCATCTTTGGATTCAAGGGTGAGATATATAGTATCCTCGACACGCTCCTGACTCCCTTCTTGCAGAGAGTCTTCTCTGGCATTGCCGATCCGACAACCGGCACTGATGACGAGATCCAACTTGCCGAGTTGAAGCGAGAGTACCTGAACTTCTTGCTGGCTGTACTAAACAATGATTTGGGAACTGTAATCATTAGCGAAAGGAACCAGCCCATCTTCGAGACCGTCATCACCACCATCGAACACTTCGCTAAAGATATCGACGACTTCACAACCGCCAAGATGGCGTTCTCTGTCTTGGGCCGTATGGCAAGCTGCTGGGGTGGACCTGATATTGCCCCTGCCCCTGCCAATGGCACCGCACCTGCCCAAGCCGCACTCCCCGGCTTTGGTGGATTCATGATCACCCGGTTCTCGCCTTTGTGTTGGGCACTGCCCACGACACCATCCTTCAACTCCAAAGATGCACAAGCTAAGCAGGTCCTTGCCGAGGCCGGCGCTTTGCAACGCACTATCTACTCCAAGACAGGCATGGAATATGCGGAATACTTGCGCAGCCAGGAATTGCCCGGCATGGGCATGGGGGCCGACCTCATCGAAGAGTTCCTGACCGCTATGAACCAGCTGGACGTGAAAGGGTTCCGGCAATTCTTCCCGGTATGTGCTAATGCCTTAATACTTCCAACGCTTTCGATCTACGTGGCATCCAACTAATTCATATGCAATTGCCAACAGTCATTCATCCAACGATTGAGCGCATGAAGTTTCCTTTCCTCCTCTCTATCTGCTTTCTAGATTCCCCCATCCATTTTCCATATTTACGTTCTGACGCGACGAGGTGACGTCTGTCCTCATGTCGCCCTGTGACTTCAATCTTCTATACCATCTACATCATCCCACCCAAGCATCCCGATCCCGATACCTTACTTGCCCAACTTGAACCCCAAGAATAGTGCTGGATCAAACTCTCGGGGGCAAATCAGAAAGAACAAAAGAATTTACCTGATTTTCAAAAGTTCCGAGTATATAGCTTGCTTCTTGCTTTTCATTGATCTCTTTTGCTCATGGTGCATTCGCATTGTGGTGTTCATTTGTATCCCCCGACAACCACTTCACGGCGTATCCTTTTTATCTGCCCCCCCTCTCTCTTGTCGGCTTTATAGGATAAGACCGAAAGGGGCTTATTTTTTCTCGTGTCTTGTGTTGAATCACTTTCAACTTTAATGGTGTGAACTGGAGTAGGTAGATCATGAAATGAAGTGGTAGAGTTGCCTCAATAAGCTCAACAGAGTATTGACTACAAGAAGCTTAGAATGGATTGCTACGTACAATATAGTAACCTGATCTGTTTCCAACCTTGGAGAAGACAAGTCACCATTCGGTCATCTCCACTACAATCCTGCTACTCCCCACGATGTAACCCTTCTTTCGGTTCTACCTACTAGCCTGGAGGCCAAAAAGTATGATATGCTCAGAAAATGTGCTGCCTATTAAGAAATGTAACTCTAGGATAAGCCACAATATGAACGGATGGCGATCTAGGGCCAGTCTCTTGTTATACAAGGCAGACATATCTAGGAGGCTAGTAGCTCTATGCTGTATCTGAGATGCAGGATCTGAGGGATTCTCCGCTAAACGTCAATCACCTTCCGATTTATGATGTACTCCACACTCCGTACAAGCATCTGCATTGGGAGCAGAATTTGATTCTGGACTGGCTTTTGTATTAGTATAGTGCACATGACTATATTTGTGGTTTACCACATCAAAACTTGAATACCTGAGACTAAAGAAGTGCAGGTGGAGTCGGCATTAATCTTGCATCCTTGTATGAAGAATTCTTTAGGGTTAGCGATTGGACAACCCCAATTGTTTGGTATAATTAGAGATTGACTAAAGTTCTCGACAGATGGGACGATCGAAGAGATAGATTTGTAAATCTAGAGCTACCTATAACGTAATATAGAGTAGAAAATCGCTTGAGAAGTTGCATAGTTATCCATTCCATGCATGCCCTATCCCAAGCCCAATATCTCATGCAGCTAGCAAAAATCCCTCAAAAACAGCTTGTAAGTTGGTAAACTAATTTATATCCCTGTCTAGACCCACTGGGGGCCATTTTTCTCATCTGTTATTCGCCTCTCCTTCATCTCGAGAGATCTAAACCTCCAAACCATCAGTGTAAAAACGACAGACTTCCGGTTTCCCCTCCAGAAATATTTAAGCAATGCCTACTTTGGTTAATCGCATATTCGAAATAGCTCGCTTCTGTTGCCTATCTGGTCTCATTATTTTCAACGGCCTCTACTGCTATGTTGTTTCCGAAGAGTGTGCTGATCACGGCACTTTGCTATCTTTCAACTTCATCGCTGGCCTCTACCTTGCCTTCATCTATCCAAGGGCAGCCAGTTCCAGACAAGTGGTTCCAAATCTCGCTCAATGAGAGCACTTCTGGGAATACCAGCCCCAGTACAAGGAACATCGACAATGCTCTTGTGGAACGAACTCCCATCCAGGTCTGCGAGCGTATCATTACCGCGACCGCTGCCTGCACTGTGATCGCAGGTTATGTGATTTCATTTGCAAATCGATGGGAGCCACAATCAAGGAGCTCTCCAATCAGGGCAACTGCAATCTCATGCGTGGCAGCTATCAGAACCTCAGATGGACATACCAATCTTCCGGCCGAAACTGCGATACTACAGCACAGCAGGCAACCATTTCTGGCGCCATCAAGAAATACATGACCAACGTGGAACACAACAAAATCTGCGGCACTTGCCTTTCTTCCTTATGTTTCTTCCATAGAACTTCTGTCATGTTTGAGCTATGGAAAATGCTGTGATGCTTAGGCCTCATGTGATAGTATTCCCTGCAAGCTTCCCGATATTTGTCTCTAGTTATACATCCCTGGTTATATATTGAAAATCCGGCTGCACATTCTAAGCCTTTTCCCGCTTTGTTTCGCCATCTAGTTATGAAACCGAGAAAGGAGAGAAAATGCCAAGAGACATCAAAGACCACCAAAAAGACACGATAAAGCCACTTATGCCGCCGACTACCCTTGTAGTTTCCACAAGATAGAAGGTTTCTTCCTCTTTCAAGTGCCCTATAGCTATCGGGAACACTCCGTACAATCACTCGTGTTCTTGGGTGTATGTACCTTATTAATCATTGGGATAAAAATAGCATCAGTTATCGTGCTAGTGGTTGTGTCAAAAACTGTCTAAATCTTCTTTAGCCTTCCAACATTCACATCCATCAAAGTCTTCGAATACATTGACGTTTCATGGCTCAGAATTGCTTGACCGGCGCTTGCCTCTGCAAGAACATAGCATACCGTATTACGTTGCCCGCGTCAGAATCACCCCCTAAGGTATAGTTTATCTCCAACTTGCCCAATCAGCAAATCCCATTCGCTTACTGACAATCTCGCCAGGTGATCATCTGTCACTACACCAATTGCAAACGCTATACGGGCTCCAGCTTCTCTGCCAATATCATCGTGCCACAATCTAGTTTGCAGCACATCAAGGGGTCACCCAAGTTGTATTCGGATCGTAGCAACAAGGACACGCAGGTATTGCGCGAGCTCTGCCCTGATTGCGGTACGCCATTCACATCACGATCAAGCGATGATCAAGAAGTCATTGCGGTGAAGTCGAGGACACTCGATGAAGAACACCGACTTAACTGTGCGAAGTTGGCAATGGAAATCTACTACCATCGAAAGGATAAATGGGTGGACGAGATCCCTCCTGCTTCTGCCCTAACAGCGAGTTCACCAGCGAAGTCAGTTCCTGCATCCAAGCCTAGTGTGCCTCCAAGTCCGATCCAATCCGCCCTCTCCTACTTCACCGGCTATCAGCGAGCTTCTGAGGGTTGGCTCGAGAAAGTCAATCGCGCCTTCCTTATATCGACCAGGTCGCACTTTCCATTGTAAGTAAGCCCAGGTAAATAAAAGTAGCATCGAACACTCATGTAAACTCTTCTTCTTTTTGATCTCCGTCAGAATTTATCTCAATCTTTACGACATGTCTTTTCCCAGAATTTATAATTTCTTTGCGCAGAAATGTGTGCCGGTGACCGGCAATCTCTCAGCGATTGTCGGTAGTGCCATCGCCGTTGCAACGTGGAGGGCTAAGCTCGCAGAAGACCGAGCTAAAGCCAAAGAGACAGACAATCCCCCTCCACACGGAGTGAAGTAATCTTGCTCGTCAAGATTACCGGGCGCTTGCTGGATGGGCAACTCCAGCGTGTGCTTGCTATTGAAGACGGTTGCAGTGTCCATTGGACCTGTCTCCGACGGATATAGCTCCTCCCTCGGCTTAATGACATAGGGGCTGGATTCTAGAGCTCTGTCTCTACAGACTGACAGTGGGTTTGTTCACGCAGCTCCACTGGCAGTCTGGATCGAGTGCTTGCACATACTTCGTTGTCCTGCGCCCCTTTTTTTTATATATATCTATAGCCCCTCTTGCTGACCGAGGGTGCATTTATTAAAGAAAACAAAAAAAGGTCCACGCGGTTGGGTGGTTAGGTTGGGCCTGGGACAATCTTGCTTTCATTTTCGCTGTGAGTACTTCCAAATGGATGCCCTGTTGCTGCTGACTGACAGTGGGTTGGTTGAGCATTGCTCGCATTTCTTGTGACAGTCTGGGACACGAAGGTGGAAGAACCCGAAGTGTCGGTGTTTCACTGGGCAGGTGGTCTCGGTCCCGTAAGTCATAACGGTGGTAGTGGCACCCTCAGGAGTGGTGGGTGTGGAGTTGGCGCCAACGCTTGATCAGACGGCACTGGTGACAGCGGGCCCCATAGGAGCAGTTGTGGCAGCGACCAGAGGGAGCCGGGGTGCTTCCAGCAGCGATAGAGCTGAAAATGTTTGAAGTGGAGGTCAGGGTAACAGTTGAAACCGTGCTGGATGTACGTCGGATCGGTACTGTGAGTGCTGTTGGAGTAGGGAAGGCACTATAGGTAACTATAACTTCGAAGTTTTCTACGGCAAAGGAAATAAAACTCTAGTTAGCATGTCAATTGACTGATGATGTGAGCATTTTTGTTATGGTACACATTTGGGACCTACCAGCTCCAAAGGTGACTGGTCCCGAGAAAAAAGAAAGAAAAAACACGCCTGCATCAAGGGAAATAAGGAACGAAAAAGGAACAGTATCAACCCCGGTTTACCAGGCCTCGGTGTCGAAGTTCTCAACGCCGAAGTATGAGGCAACAACTGTACGGTCAGAGAACTTGCGACCCGCCAGCGCTTTGAGAGCGGTGGTGGCGGATTCAGCGGTATCGTACTTAATGAAGATTTTACCAGCGCCGTGTCCACGGCGGGGGATCTTCATCCCGAGAATCTTTCCGAACTTGGCGCATTCCTCGCTCACATCCTCCATGATTTCTTCGTAATCTTCGTCATTGAGGAGCTCGTCAAGCGTGACCATGTTGAGAAGCTGCAGGACCTGGGTGGTCTCTAGATCCTGGGAGGTCGTCTTGGCGAACATCTGCATGGCATTCACGCCCATGTCGAGGCCAGAGGCTTGTGTGGTTCCAACGCTGGCGAGAGCAAACTTAAGGTGGTGATCGACTAGTTCCATGCCGTTCAAACCTTCAACGGCAAGCGCAGTGTTGTTCGGGTCGACGTATTCATAAAAGGCAATTCCCTGGAAAAGTTAGAAAGAATTTGACGGTAGGGAAATACTCAACTTACCCGAGACTCCTCTGTAGCAGCATCCTTGACCAAGACAAATGACTTAAGGTCGCCGAATGACTTGAGCAACATGATAATAGCTTCCTCGTTGATGTAGGTTGGAATATTAGAGATGCAGATCTTGTTGGGTGAGTCAGGCACCTCGCTCAGAACGACGTCCGGCTGTACTGGCTGCGATGCGCTCCCGTCGGGAACAATGTAGTCCTTTGGCCGTCGCACTTCAAGTCCCTTGTCTCCACTCTCCGCCATGGTAATTCCATCGAAAGCCAATGCGACTGTGGCGTCATTTGGATCCTTGAACTCCAGGAGCGCGAATGTTTTATCTTCAGAAACTTGGGCAGAGATGCAGGGATCGACATTGTGAATAACATTGAGTCCATTCAATTGAAGATTGAAGAAGGTAATAACGGCATCGCCCGAGACACCGGACGGGATGTTGTAAACGAAAAGACGCTTTGATTGACGAGAGTTAGAAGGCTTGAGGGCAGCATTGTCGCTATCGCCAGTGGGAGGGTTCAGGAAGTCCTTCATGCGGCTGGGGTCCATCGGCTGCTGACGAGGAGCTCCGGGAAGAGGGAACATCCCTGTTGATGTTAGACGGTTCCACTAGCTCATAAGCTTTAAACACATACCTGAGATCTTTGCCTGTTCAGCCGTAACATTCTCATAACCAGGAGGCTTCATGTCCCATTGAGTCAAACGACGTTTACGGGTCAACACCGAGGGCACATCTGTCAAATCGGGGGTAGGCTCCTTGCGCCGCGGGGGCGTGGCGCTTCGCTTGCGGTCTCTTCTCTCACGGTCTCCACGGTCACCACGGTCACCGCCACCACGTCCACCGCGTCGGTCGTCAAACAAGTCGCGACGGGGTCTTTCGTCAAAGTCACGTCGACGACCACCACCGCGATCTCCACCACCACGGTCACCACCCCCACGATCACCACCACCACGGTCACCACCCCCACGCTCAGCGCGGTCACCTCGCTCGGCACGGTCGCCACGGTCCCACTCTCGATCATCACGGCGGCCAGAGTAGCGGTCTTCGCGCTCACGGGCACGGTAGTCACGGCTGGTTGAGTACGAGTTCACTTCGCGCTCCCGACGAGATCCATGATGAGGCGAACGCGAACGGCGTCGTTCACCGCGATCACTCCTATCGCCCCGTTCAGCTCCACGCTCGGTTCCTCGTTCGGCACCACGCTCAGCACCTCGGTCGGCAGGTCGCTCAGCTCCGCGTTCGGGTCTGTCACCCCGGTCTCGATCACGCCGCTCGTCGCGCTAGAATTGGGGTTAATCGCCGCGGTTGCGACCAAAGATTGGCTGATACTTACGAAGTAGTCGCGGGAACGTCCAGTCTCTTGGGGATATTAGCAGTTATACCAGAAGTTAATGTAAGGATACTTACCTCTGGATGAGTAGGTGTCACCGTTCATGTTGAGGTTGGTTGAGGAAATAAATGAACCTGTCGCCAGTGAAGGGGAAAACTCATGACCCAGAGCTGCAGGCGGTGATGGCCTCACCGCCCGTGTGTCGATTCGGATTCCGGCAGAAAATACAAACATGGAGACAGCGACTCCGCCGTCTCGAATCAGTAATTTGGATTTCAAACATGTCTCTAGGTGTTTTGTCAGAATGGCAGAAGCTGCCTTTGAGCTTGAGTGAGCTTTGCATCAATACTACGCTCAGATGCGGCCAGTCTTTTAGGTTTGTCAGCCAAGTTTCCGGGTCCGGGGATTGTAGATCAAGCGACTGACCCTTTTTAGATGGCGGAACTTTCCAGAGAGTCAGGAATGGCGATGCGTTCTCTATGGCCATCTTCTGTCGCTGAAGCAAGACTCAAACTTCTTGTACTATAGATCTGTGCAACCTCCTTCCCATGCATTCACCGACAATGATCATCTCATCCGCATTATCAAACATTACTTCAACCTAACGCCAAATTTGACTGAACTCTACTCTCAATGGTCATCACAAGACCCCAATTTCAAGAAGAAGGCTGCGCAATTCACCGGGATCAGGATCCTTCGACAAGATGCATGGGAAGCATTGGTATCATTTATCTGCAGCAGCAACAATAATATTGCACGGATCTCACAAATGGTGGAGAAGTTATGCATACATTATGGAAAGCCCGTGGCCACAATTGAAGGGCGTGCATATCATGATTTTCCTCCCCCAGGCGCATTGACTGGCAAGGATGTGGAAAGCAATCTGCGCAATTTAGGATTTGGATACCGGGCTAAATACATATACCAAACTGCGGTTATGGTATCCAACCGAGAGCAGGGCTGGCTAGATAGCTTGAGCAACCCCGAGTGTCCAGCATTTGGCGTGGATCCTAAACCAAGCGGCGAAATGAAACCAGAAGGGCGAGAGGGATATCGTGAAGCTCATGAAAAGCTTCTTGAGCTACAGGGAGTTGGGCCAAAAGTGTCAGACTGTGTCAGTTTGATGGGATTAGGCTGGGGAGAGTCCGTGCCGGTTGATACTCATGGTGAGTTCTTTTGATAATGTTTCTGATTTATCTCTAATCCTTTACGATAGTGTGGCAAATCGCACAGCGAGATTACCGTTTTGGAAAAAGCTCCAATAAGAACTTGAACAAGACGACTTATGATGCTGTTGCCAATCATTTCCGCAAGCTTTGGGGTAAGGAAGCTGGATGGGCCCATAGTGTGCTTTTCACTGCGGACCTGCGGACCTTTGCAGACAAACTTGCTGCAACTAAGAAAGTTGAGGTGAAGGTGAAAGACGAAGAGTCTGATGTCAAGGTTGAGACAAAAGTGACAACTGCTCTCTCTTTGAAGGTTTCTAAGGAGGAAAACGTCGATGTGAAAGTCAAGGTCGAAGACATAGATGATGCCAAGAAGCCCAGGGACAAGAAGAGAAAGGAGACTGAGAACATTATTCCTGTTGTTCAAACAACAGAGACACGGAGAATGTCCAAGAGACTAAAGCGTTGAAGCCACTAAAGACAAGGAAAGGACTATTCTTGACTACTACTTTTACCGCAGAAAATATCTATACATCTTAATAATGAATATGCCAGACGCAAAAATGTACGACGAGACACGAGTTTAGTGCATTTAACATGGGTATTTGTATTCAATAATCTTAGCTATATCAATGATCAATGCCTAAAACCGTAGTTAGTATAACGGTCGAACAACTCTTAACACAAGTCCTGAAGTTGGAAGAGGTAGATCAGAAGTCCAGGTAGATCATCGAGCTAGCATCCGAAAACACTAGCTCTGACATAAGAGGTACCAGAAAATAAAGTATAACAAATGCGTTGTATCATCATGTGGGAATATTGGAGATTGAGCAAGAAGAGGTTGAACTGACCTGATATAAGAGTGGCGAGAGGCGTGTCGAGTGTATATCGTACAGCTCGCACTCAAGTTGAACCAGAAACCATTAATTCCAGTCGACTAAAGTGCAGAACTGGGTTTGTCGGTTGTTGGTGTTCGAACAAAATCGGAAGAGAAACGAAGTGAGGTTTTGTCGAAGAAAAGAAATAAGCGAAGTCTATCACGTGACCCCACACAGGCCCCATCTTTCCCGCCCACTCTCACTCTCACACTTCTCGATTTTCGATCTTTCATCCACGCCGACAACCGACCAGATTTCCTCCGCCGGACACATCACCAATCCAAAATGGGTCGTCTTCACAGCAAGGGCAAGGGCATTGCCTCCTCCGCCATCCCCTACTCCCGCACCCCCCCGGCGTGGCTCAAGACCACCCCCGACCAGGTTGTCGACCACATCTGCAAGCTGGCTAAGAAGGGTGCCACCCCTTCCCAGATCGGTGTTGTCCTCCGTGACTCCCACGGCATTGCCCAGGTCAAGATTGTTACTGGTATGAAAACTCAGAAAAACGCGACTCTAGGAATTGGAGGATTGAAGATTTCTAACATTTTCGCGCAGGTAACAAGATCCTCCGTATCTTGAAGTCCAGCGGTACGACTCCCTCCGCCCGCATATTTACATCTGTCGGGTGAAGAGAGCGAACAATTTGTGTGGATAAACTTTCTGGCTCGGTGAAAGAACCCGTTGGTTTTGAAGCGCAAAATGCTCGTCTCTCTCCCCGAGACTGGTCGCAGAAATGCACCAGCAATTAAGCCTCTGCTTGGTCAAGAACATCTAGACTGACAGAGAGATTTTGGAATACAGGCCTCGCTCCCGAACTCCCCGAGGACCTTTACTTCCTGATCAAGAAGGTAAAAAGAATTACTCCGGGGGGGGGGGGGGGGGGGGGGGGGGGGGGGGGGGGGGGGGGGGGGGGGGGGGGGGGGGGGGGGGGGGGGGGGGGGGGGGCGGGGGGGGGGGGGGGGGGGGGGGGGGGAG